AATGAATATACAAATGTGCTTTACACAATTGATGTGTGTATGGATTGTGATAAGAGTTGTATGAGCCCCTAATAAAATGATTAAAAGAAAAAAAAAAGAAAATTGTGCCTCGAGGAATTTTCCCCGCATCATAACAATGCACCTGCTCGTTCTTAAAGGGTAGCGTGGGCTGTGCTAGGAGAGAAACTTGTCCTTGTTGAGAAACCTTAACCCCCATCCACCCTACAGCCCTGACCTGTCTCTTCATATTTTGTTTCATTTCCAAAACTTAAAGGACATTTAACAGGACGAGGACTTATATCCTTTGAGGGTGCTGTTTAGTTGTCACGTAAACCGGGAGTGTGGAATTCTTCAGGAAAGGGTTAGAGAAATGGATCATGGGGTTCCACCGTGGATAGACCTAGATGGAGGATGTGACGAGGAACGAGAGCTTCACACTATGATATCTTTCTTTAACTAAGGTTTTTATGACTTTGTAGCCATACTTTCTGACTTACTCTCATATATGTGTGAAAATACAGAGCAAGTGACTAAGAATTCTGGTATCATCACTTAAAAAAGGGCATTAGAAACTGATATGGATATAGTGATAAATGTGGGATATGACAATTGTCTAGGATTATCCCCCCTCTATAATTTTTTGAGTGTTCCCTTCTAGCCGTAGCCCGTGTGCATATGGAGTCTATTAATATAATAAAGGCTTTTCTTAGCTATTCCTTTCTCATTGCACATGGTGACATTTGGCATCTATGTACAAATATACACATAAAATCCCTATACAATGTCTATTCACAGACATTTGTTTATATCTATGTGTGTACACACACACTTAAGAGTATATGGATGACTCACGTGAATTGTATGAATCAGCATACACAGAGCCTTTTAGGGATATAACTAGGAATTTTGATTCGAGAACTTTCCTAAAATCTATACTTGTTTTTTTATCATCTATTAGGAATACCTCAGAGAAATCCATTCTTTGCTCCTTTTCCACGTGTTTGTTTTATATTGAACACTAATGGAAATTTACAAGACAGACTGTTTTGAGTGTGTCTTTTCTTAATTCTCTAGGAGAGACGTGACTATACAGGCAAGGCAACCCAACACCACTGAACACTTAGTTTACTTCAAGTCAAAACACATCCAGTTTCTGGTGAGAAACATTTGGGCTTTTAATAGGCAGGGAGATAACCAAAACGATGCCCCACCTTCCAAAGGTTAATCATATGAAATGGCTTAACCTCTCGACACTGGAAACCTAAACTGGGAAATTTCTATTGTAAAGCTAGGCGAGAATGATTAAAAGCCCATGGTGTATATGTGTGTCGAAGAAATTCTGGTGGGAAGGACCTCTGGCAGGGTTGAGGAAATGGCTTTCACACGTGACAGATTTACACTGTAAGCTGTAGTCATAGGTCGTTTATGTTAAGGCAATTTTATTTATTCGATAGCACCAGGCAGAGATACAAATTCATAAACAATAAGGACAGAATCAAGCCAAACTAACATCGCATTGTTTTATTCTGACAGTCAAGGATTTATGATTATGGTTCTAAGTGTGCTATTTTCATTTTTTAAAAACTAGTCAATGAAACGTTTCTCTTGTCTTTCCTGACTACAAAAGTCTGAGGTCACAGAAGAAGCATGCCAGCCATGAGCTCTAGGCGAGACAACATCGTGAAATTCCAATCTTGCCTATTGCTGAACAAAACTGAGCTCTCTGTGCCCAGAAATTTGAATACTAGTTTAATTTCTAGGTTCCCCGCCACAAGTCATAAAAGGTCCATCAAACAATAATCTCAAAACTTCTCAAATACCTTAAATACCACATGACATGCTCATGTATTATTTTCAAATTGTAAGCCCGCTAATTAAAGTCTGTGACAAGATGAAGAACAGAACTTCTAATCGTGACATTTCCTATCATGGTCCAGCCTCCAGCTGGGGTCAAAGTGCATTCCCAGGGGTCTCCCAGTTTTCACCCTGCTGACCACTTAGATCACTGATTGATAGCCCATTCGGGATCCCTGCATACTTCAATGTGGTTTCATTGGTTGTGTGTAGACCTGGGCTTCTGAGTTCTGCTGGGCCCATTCTCATGATCAGAATGAGACAAGCGCAAAGGCTTAAGCAAAGGCTAAATGAGATCAGACCCATCTGCACAAAGGAGGATTTCCTAGTACAGCAAATGGTGAAACCTAGCACCGAGCATCTGAAAGCAGATGGTAGGTCCTGGGATGCCACTGAGGCACAGTGGCCACGCCATGCTGTGGAGTTGTGGTTTCAGGCAGGCAAAGCCACACTTGGCGCTATGTTAAATTCATGGCGGTGTGGATTTTATGCATCATGCCGTTTTACTTCTATTTAATTGGCGGTGTTCATTTGGCTTAGCAAGTACACATTGGCTCTCTAAGTGATAATAACATTCGTAGAGAGTTACGAAATCTTAAAATACAAACCAGGTTCCTGGGTGGAGCAGGCAGTGAGGGATTTGGCTGCCCACTAAAAGATTGGCGGTTCAAATCCACTTCAGAGGTGCCTCGGAAGAAAAGCCTGATGGTCCCTTTCCACCAAACCCCGGTCACTAAAACCCTCTGGAGCCCAGCTCTTACCAGATGCCCAGAGGGTGGCCATGAGTGAAGGTCGACTCAATGGCAACGGATAGAAAAATAAAAACAAATTAGGTTCGTCCCGGAGGAAATCTCAAAACAGCGATTTTTATATCACTCCAGTTTGAGCAGCCCTGCTATATTTCTCCCTGGTTCCCATGGCATCATGTGAGGGATTGGAAGCTCCTTCCTGGTGGCTGGGCCCCAGTCCTCAAGAGGAACTGCCCAGCACACATGATAGTGTTTTCAGCAGAGCTGGCTATTCCTGGGCACGCTGCACCGAGTGTTGCCTTTGTGGCTCTGCCCCCACACGCCGTTAGGAGCTCAGCTGCACTGGGCTGGACATTGCTCACTCAAGTATGGAAAGGCTTACTTAAGCATGTTCAGCCGCCCAACTGCAGGGGGTGGGGGGACTGGAGGACCTAAGAGCCACCGGAAGTCATCAGAGCAAGAGGGGCACCAAAGAAAAACAATCATTGAAAGCCACAAAGTCTGATAGGAAGCATATTTGGTAAAGAGTTGGTCTCTGCTCCCCCACAGCATGGTCTTCTGTTGGGTGTTTTTTCCTCACAGCACCAGCAACGTTGAGCTTGTCCTCAGAGGTGGGGATGACCTCTGACCTGGGTGGTGTTGCGGACGTGGCTGGCTACCTTTTAGAAGAGGCCACAAATCCCCAGCATCACGATGAGCTGATAGAGGACATCTGTGAACGGGGGACAGGGGCCGACATGTTCAGATGCAGGACCGAGAGGGTCAAGGACCACTACACACCAGAGTCCTTTCAGGGGTCTTCAGCGGGCATTCACAAAACTCTCTGTTTTATACCAAGTCGAGTCCGCATTCCCGTGGGGTGGTGGCATAGCGAGTTACGAGACAGGCTGCTAGCCGTACAGTCAGCAGTTCAAGAGCACTAGCTGCTGCTTGGGGAACAGTGATGGGGCTTTCTACTCCCGTAAAGATCTACAGTTTTGGAAACTCACAGGGGTGGTTCTCCTCTGTCCTATCGGGTCGTTATCAGTGGGCATCACATCGACGGCACTGAGTGGGGTGTGGGGTGTGGGGTTTCAGTTGTGTCAGTGCGGAGACTGACAGCTCCACCCCGAGGCCGGGGCTCTGGAATGAGTCATCTGTGTCTCAGTGTAGGGCTTTCATATAGAATGTCCTCAGGAAATAAGGACCTACGATTGACATCCAATGGATGTGGTGCTCTAAGTGCACCCTCTCAGCTTGTGAGTCCAGAAAACAGCCGTCTTACCCTGACTATGGGTCTTGGTTGAAATGTGTCCTCCTCAAACAGGCTTCCTGGATGCTAGCCAAACCAGGCCCACCTCCCGACAGACAGTCCTATCTTCTACGGCCTTGGTGTCTCATTCACCCATGGTGGCAGCCTCCCCATCTAGACCAGTGCTTGGGGCTGTCGTCAGAATCCCAGCTGACCCTTACCACCCATTTGCCGTGTGCTGGACTTTGATCGAGGGTCTTCATCTGTCCCATTAAAGCTTTGCCACAACCATGCATGATGTGGGCAATTATGAGCCCATTTTTACAGAGAAAACTGGGCAGCAGATGAGGGAGGTCATCACCCAAGGCCACACTGTGTACGAGTAGCAGCGCCGTAGCAGGGACCCAGAGAGGCTCGTTGAATGAACAGATCGTGGCAAATCATAGTCTCCAAACGGAGAAACCCAAGAGAAACCAGTTGGTGATGGCTTTGCTGAGACTTGGGGTGCGGCCCCCAGTTCTGCTCTATCTGCTTTTAGCCCAGCCCCCCCCCCTCCCTCAGAGGACTGGGCTGGCTGGAGGAAGATTTTGGTACCTGCCCCCCTTATGCAGGTGTGCTCTGAAGGACTGTTTTCAATTTGGAAAGGCTTTGCTGCAGCCCAAGGTAAGCTGCCTTGAAAGCACACACCTGCCTTTTCTGAGTGTTGGCCCTGGCCTTCTCGGAGGCACTGTTTTTCTTACCTGAGAAGCTATAAAGACTCGAGAATCCCCTGCCTGTAGTGAGCAAAGAGAGAGAAGGCAGAAGGTTAAAGACAAGGTAATCGACTCTACTATGGCTCTCATACAACCTTCCCCCAGACCAACCTCTGACCACCCCACTGCCTATAGGACAAGGTCTATATGCAAGTACAAAGGCTTTGCCTCACCCATCTCCTCTTCAGCTCTCTATGGAGGGGTGGGGATGCTTTTGCTGGAAAGGACCAGAGAGTGAATGTTTTCAGCTGTCTGGGCCACAGGATTACCATCGCAGCATGTCTCTGGGGTTGGGTGTGCTGGAGTGCCCAATTAACCTTTTCCATAAACATTGATAGTTAATTCTGTATCATTTTGGTGGATGGGCGTGTGCAGGTAGAAAACACTGCATTTCTTTTGCATTTTTTTCTAGCACCTAAAAATGTTGAAAAACAAGCCATCTTGAACTTGTAGGCCAATCAAAACCATGCAGCGCCTCAGCTGTAGTTCGATCACTGTGCTTAAAGGATAACTGGAGGGGGTGAGGGGGGAAGGGTTCATGCACTCAGCTGCACCCTGAAGGGCTGGAGGTTCGTGTTTACCTAGAGGAGCCCTGGTGGAATAGTGGTTACACTTTGGGTTGTGACCCGCAAGGTCAGCTGTTTGAAGCCATCAGTCCCTCCTAGGGAGAAAGGTGAGGCTTTCTGTTCCCTTAAAGTGTTACAGTCTCAGAAACCCACCGTGGGCAGTTCTACCCTGCCCTCTAGGATTGCTCTGAGTTGGAAATAACTCGGTGGCAACCACAGCCAGGAGAGGTGCCTGGGAAGAAAGGCCTGGTGATTCACTTGGAGAAGTGAGCCGGGAGCCCAGGTCTACCCTGGCACAGGGGCCGCCAGGAGTTGGAATCCATTTGGTGGCAGCTGGTGTGCTGATCTAAGTCACTCCTACGGCCCTCCACCTTCTCCCCAGGCCTTACTCCCCCCTCTGATGCACTCCCAGGGCAATGCCCAGTTCTCTTCCCAGGAGCTGTCTATCATCTTCCTCTTCGCTAGATGGCAAGGACAGGGCTTGCAGATTTCTGGACCCCCCAGTGTCCAGCCCAGAACCAGCTACAGTGTTGGTTTCCCCAGGGACCTTCCCTAGGCCTTGGCATTCCGGGCCTGGCTCATTCTTTATCATCATCATTATTATTATTCCGATGTCCGTTTGGAAGCTCAGTACTTCTTACTTAGCATGGAGGCCATGGATAGAACTTTCCGGAATGACAAACTGACCTCAATGCCTTAACTTGGGATGAGCTGCCCCTCCCAGCCGAGAGGACTCAGGAGCAGGTGCAGGCTGTGGCTCCAGGCACGAGTGGTTTGGCAATTCGGTCAAAATGCTCAAACCAGCTGTGCCTGTGGACGCAGCCCAGAAGTGGATGCAAACCATCCGGGAAACGGGGCGCTTACTGCGGAGAATCAGCTCCATCACCAGGACACCGCCAGTCTGGTCCCGGAGGAGACGCTTCCTCTTATCACAGGTCTGGAGACCCAGCCCCACAGGGGGGAGGCAGGGGGAAGGATGAGAGAGAGAAGAAAAAGAGGGAAAAAAAAGAAGTTACCACCTGGATAGTCATATCCACTCAGCCAACAGTTATTAGCTACCTTGTTTGTTTGTTTGTTTGTTTGTTTTTTCATGTAACCAAGTGAGAGGTTCTTTATCTCTGCTCCAACTTGATGAAAGGAAACAAGGAGTCATTCATAAATGGCTCAAACTCATAAAGAAAGGGGGTCTGAGAGAAATCATGCTGGCAGGCGGTCCATGGACAGGGGCGAGAGGAACCCTGTTTCTTTTGAGGAGAAGGGAGGTTTTCTGTGTGCTCCTCTTATCACAACCATTTGATGCGACCCCTGGCAGACTACTCCCAGTTCTCTTTTGTTTCTTTGGTTTTCCTTTTCGCTGTAGTGTTCATACGGGTCCTTTGGTGAACTATGGAATGACTCCCCATCTTTTCCCCAGCCCGGTGCCCTCTGGCTTTCTCCATTCAGACTTGTAAGTGACCACGTTCCCGTCAGGCAGATCGATAGGAACAGAGTCTCCCATAGCTTCGGGCTGTTGCTGTACACAGAGTAGACAGGTGGCCTGTGTGGAAACACAGAGCCTCTCCTTCCTGAAGTCTCTGGATCAAATAGACCTGAGAAGGTTTAGCAAATGACGTGTCTGAGACTGTGGTTCTCCACCTTTGATGTGCGTCTGAGGACCTGGAGAGCTTATTTATAAACAGGTGGCTGGGCCCACCTGGACTTTCTGGTTCACTAGGTCCAGAGCAGAGGTTCCCAAGCAGATTTGGCTTACTGTCTCCTTTTCAGAAAGCAGATTAGTCAGTACCCCCTGGCAATGAAGCACTTGTACTTAGCCCATTATCCAACATAAAGTGTAGGTATCTGCTTCCACAGCTCTCCTCCCAACCCCGGCCATTCCAGCATCCCCCAAGTTTACCCACTTTGTGAAACACTGCTCTGGAGCAAGGGGCCATGCTGACACAGTGATTAAATGCTGAGCTGCAAACCGAAAGGTGAGTGGTTCCAGCACACCAGGAGCTCCATGGGCGAAAGATGTGGCCGTCTGCTTCCATAGAAATTATTGGCTGCCATAGAGTTCTTTATGAATCACAGTGGCCCTAACTAAGTTTTCTGAGACTGCAGGCCTTTATGGGAGCAGACAGCCTCATCTTACCCCATGAAGTGGCTGGTGGGATTGAACAAGCAACCTTTGTGGTTAGCACTCCAATGCTTCCCGGGCAGCGCCACCTTGGGAACCCAATGGGGCAGCTCTTCTCTGTCCTGTAGAGCCACTTTGAGTCAGAATTGACTCTTGGTCAGTCGGTGAGTCAGTCCAGCGTGGTTCCTGAGAATTTGCGCGTCTCCTAAGTTACGGAAGCTGCCGCTGCGCTTTGAGAACGGCTGCTCTAAGGGGTAGTTGGATTTGTCTGAATTCATGGTGTGTGGTGCTGGGGGGAGTGGAGAGGCAATGGGGGGAGGGATCTGAAGGCACGAGCTCCACTCCATCCGTCTGCACATGTGGAGACTACTGCAGCACCTCTCTGAGTTTGCCCAGTGGCCCCCGTCCAGAGCTAAAACTACCTAGCTTCTAGGGATCCCCGGAGCCCCTCCTTGCAACCTAGACCTGGAGTTCCTTTAGTGCTCTCTGCATCTTCCAAGCATTTCTGCTTCCGGGCCTGCTGTCGTTTCCCCTGACATGGCTCGCAGAAAGGAAAGGACAGTTGGCACCTATCGCCACTCTCTAAGAAGAGGGCTAAGTGACCAGCGTCAGGTCGAGCCACTTGTCCATTGAGTGGGGATGGGGATGGGAGCTTCTGCCCTCATGCCCAGCTCCCTCTCCTCCAGGATGCCCTTGGCACCCATTCACACGTAGGTGAGGACAGCTGCCTGCCCCCTCCCTTGCCCTCCCTTGGCTCACACGCTCTGCGGGGGCGGAAAAGGGGCTCACCACCGGGCAGGAGAGCTTCTCGCTGTCACAGACGAACGTCTCACAGTGCAACCAGACCTTGGAGAGCTTGGGAATGTTCTGGAACCGGAAAGCGTTGAACTGGAAAGTTGCCCTGTGATCTTTTCCATTCTCATGCACGAGAACTGTCTCGTCCGTGGGACAGCTGAGGCACAAGGAGTTGGGGGAGGGGGGGAAGTGTTACCTCTTCTCCACAAGCAAGGGCTTTGGAGGCAAGTTTCTACACAACAATGACACCCCCTTGGGCTTGTATCCTCCCTTATGGGTGCCAGATGGTGCAAACAGTTACCATGCACAGCTACTAATTGACAAGTTGGAGGTTGAAGTCCATCTGGAGGTCTATTGATTAAAAAACTTCTGTAGCAGTGGATAGCACCATGGCTGCCCCCCCCCCAACAAATTTTTTTTTAATTGGAGCCTCCTACATCTCTATCACAATCCATACATACATCTATTGTGTCAAGCACATTTGTACATTGGTTGCCATCATCATTCTCAAAACATTGGCTTTCTACTTGAGTCCTTGGTATCAGCTCCTCATTTCCCCCCTACCTCTCCCCTCCCCCCACCCTCATGAACCCTTGAAACTTCTTTCTAACTTATTTTTATTTCCTCATGTCTTACACTGTCCAACGTCTCCCTTCACCCACTTTTCTGTTATCCATCCCTCAGGGAGGAGGTTATATGTAGATCCTTGTCATGGGTTCCCCCTTTCTGCCCGACTTCTCTCCGCCCGCCAGCAATCACAGCACCCCCCACCCCCAACAAATTAATGTCCCCTCTCCCCCCAAACAGCTCTCTCACTGAATTGTAGCTTCAACAAAATACTGAGTCAGAGAATGGCCCAGTTATGCCAGAGACCCTTCAGGCTCTCCCTGCCCACCTCCACTCTCCCCAAACCAGAGTGTCCACTCTGAGCGGTAGTGGAGGAGATGAGCAAGAATCACCAAAGCTCAATAGCTACACCAGGGGTCAGACGCTCAGCCCTGCTTCTGATGCTGCTGTGAATATTTTCCAATGTGTGAAACACGACCCTTGCAGGATCGTTTGATCAATAAACCTGAGATCCTGGGGTGAACTCAAGACACTAGTCCTTGAAATAGCTTCAAGCAGCCAGAGTGCCCCAGGCCTGGTGTCAGCCAGTGGAAAATCATGTAAGCGGACCTTTGTTGGGGTGGGGACTGAGGGAGGAAGCAAGTCACGGGCAGACCTCGGGCTCTTGATACCGCTGCCTGTTGGCCCTGGCCACAGCACCTGCCCCTCAGACACAGATATCTCTGGGCTGGACAAGCTCTCGAAGTGAGGCTTTCACACCACTGCTGCACGAGTCTCCTTCCCCAAACAGGGTCAACCTTTGAGCTAGTCATGCTACTTTGTGTATGCATGTGCACACGGACATGCCTGAAAATATATCTACTTGATCTCTCTAGATGGGTCTGGGGTGACGCACATGGTTAACCATTTGGCCGTTAGCCGGAAGGTTGGCACTTCAAACCTACCCAGAGGTACCTTGGAAGACAGGCCTGGTGACCTACTTCCAACAGGTCACACTCTGGGAAAGTCTCCAGGGAAGCTCTGCTCTTGCACTCAGGGGCTCACCAGGAACTGCAACGGACTCACCACAACCAATGGCAGCAGCAGCAAGCACATCGTGGGGTGTGCTTAGAAAACTGGGGTTCCTCCCAAGTGGCCCATGGGAACATAAAGCTTCTTGACCGTTGTGGGAGTGGCTTTCCAATTCCCCTCTTTGGCTGTGGCCTTTGTGCACGTGTTAAGGTATTGCTTGCTTGAGAAAACTCACTCACAGCTCCGAGTTGATCCTGTCTCCTAGCGACCAAGTGAGGCAGACCCTACTTACATATATTTATGTAATCTATGTTTATATATATAAATATCTAGACACACATATGTAGATATCATTCACCTCATTTGACTATGCTTGAATGAAGAGGCCCAGGTTCCTCCTGGAACCCTTCTGACTCAGTGGGTTGACAGGAGCCCTCGCTGTTTCAGTCACTCAAGGTAATTCACGTGCACACTAGAGTTTGAGGATGACTTGCCTCAACTCCCCCAAAGCCATTGCTTCTTCTCCCATATGATACATCTGTCAGGGGGGACACCACCAGAATTCCCACAAGGCAATGACTCGGGTCAGGCAGAAGCCTTTCTTTGTATGGCTCTTACCTGTGAGAAGACCCCATAGCTGAGAGTCAATCTAGTCCCAGGTCAATCAGTCCCTGAAGGCATTTGATTGTACCCTTGTCAGCAGAGCCGAGGGAATCATTCAATGATGGAAGTGAAGCAAGCACACACACTTACCTCCGTAGGGAGCTAGGGAGCAGGGCTGGCACACACGGTGTACTTATCAATGTTTGTGACATACAAATAACTACTTACAGTCTCCAGCTTGATTATCTACCTGTCTCTGGCCTTGGCCCCAACGTGGCCTTAGTGAATCCTAGCAATGACCCTGCACGTTGATCTGCTTTGCTTTGGGGAAAGGCCTCCTCTTTATTTGATGTGATCTGTGCTAAAACTCTTCTCGGTTTTGCAAAGTTGCTATTTGAAGGGCTTCTTGGACAATCACATCCAGAAGTCCACCATGTCCAATCCTGAACTCTATGATTCCATGCTCTCTTATCCAGAATTCCTTGTCTCCAACAGCTGACACAAATTACAATTCCTTTGTCATAACAATACACAGGCTCACAATCTCAATGCTATCTGGGACATACCTGGACAGATAGACAGATAGATGAGACATAGCTAGATATTCCTCCAACTACTTACTCAGTACTTCCTTCCACACCATAAGTAATTAACACATTTTTATCTGAAGAAGAAATAAGCTGTAGAAGTTTCTCCTCCACGGTTCTTACCTTCTTTCCTTTCACTTGGCTACAGCCTCAGCTCTGGTCTTATTACCTTTTGCCTCAGGAGTTTCCACAGTCTCTGCACTGCTCATTCCTCCTTCATATACAGACTCTAAACTCTCCTGCACATGACTTCCAGAATGACCTTCCTTTCGTGCAGTGGCAGTATACCAGTCCTCCTCTCTAAACTTTTAAGAGCTCCCCATTATCCTGAATCAAACATGAAAACGATACTATTTAAAGTGAATTGAATGTGGACGACGCTGTGTGCGAAGCTTTTGAAGGGTGATCTAATTATTCGGTATCCCAGTTCTGGTGTCCCAGTGACTGGATTTGAACCTATCATCAATCCCACAAAGGCACACACCATGTAACCTTCCTTAACATCTCCTGTCCCTCAGTTTAGGAGTCTAGTGGCACAGTGGATTAGGAGTGTGTCACTGTCCACAAGGTCCACCGTTCAAAACCACTAGCCACTCCATGGAAGAAAGACGAGGCTTTACTCCTGTAAAGAATTACAGTCTTGGAAACCAACCGGGTCCTATAGAGTTGCTGTGAGTTGGAATTGACTCAATGGCAGTGGGTTTAGGGGTTTTCTTTGTTTTGTTTTAGTGCTTCGGTTTCCTCATCTGTAAAATGAGGATGACAATGATAATACCTTCTTGTAAGACGGAAATGAGTTAATGCATGATAAAGCTCCCAGAGCAATGTCTGATGCCTGGACAGTATTACACAATGGTCTCTTCATTAGTACTAAGCCTGGAAACACAGACCTTCCCTGGCCTGACCCTGCCGGGTCTCAGGCAGAGCAAGGTTGCTATGGATACACCGGAGCCTCCAGGGAGGAGTACCTACCCCTTGTTGATCAGCTGCCACTGTAAGGGATACATGAAATCAGCCGAGGGTGTGGCCCAGCAGCTGTTCAGCACCACCTTAAACCTGGGGCAAAAGCAAAACAACGATGTCACATAGAGTCTGAGAATCTTCTGCTGAGAAGCAAACTGACTCCCGGTTAGTTAGTCTTTGCACCATTCTTTATGTTTAAAAAGATTAAAATGGGAGGAGCGGACTTACCGAACGCTTAACCCTTTGGCTTCTACTCCCGCAAAAAGATCTGAACCGATTTCTGAAGTTTCCAGCACAAAGGGGACTTCCTTCTTAGTGGAGAACTTGGCATTCTTGGGAAGGAAATTGACAACGGGCATTACGGATTCTCAGACTAAGCGGTAGAGTCCAGCAGAAGCAGATGAATGGGCATTGGGTGGGGGTGGGAGTCTATTCAAGGGGATAAGTATGAGAGACCCTGCAGATCCTAGGAAGCTGTCCCTCCCACGATGTTGGTACCTTCTCCGAGGGGACAGGGCTCACCGTGTTCTCGATCTCTTGGTGCTGATGAGACACACACTGTATGTCTTGTCTTCTCTTGGCCAACAAGGAACAAGATTTGACCAACAGAAGCAAATGGAATCCAAGAGTGCCGAGTCAGTGTGCTCCAGTGAGTCACCCCAAGGCTTGGGGCCTAAGGGCTTGTTCACCTACGTGTATCATCTGAGCCAAATTCAGCCCGGGTTAGAGAGCTTATTCTCTGGTTCCCAGCACATTGACCAAAGAAAATCAGAACCATATGTTATTGAGCACATCCTGTCAGGCACTCTTCGGAGTCTTGGGAAATTCTCTGCATCAGGATATTCTGTCACTTGGGACAGGTTGGTGAGCAAAGCAAAGGTCTCTGTCTTCAACAACCTGGCATTCTAGCAGAGGGACAGACAATCAAAAGCAAGTAAAGTAGATAATATGTTAGGTAGGCTAGACTATGGAAGCTAGAAGCTATAGAACATTATATGTTATACCGAAAAAAGATTAAAGTGATAGATCAGGGAAAACAGACGAAGTGTCAGAAGTGGCTGAGTGGAATTTTGCATGTGGTGGCTCGGGAATCATCATGGAGAACAGGACAGTCGAGCTGGGCCATGAAGGTGGTAAGGAAGTCACTTGGAGTCAGCCAGGGAAGAACTCTTCAGCCTGGCAAAGCACGGGCACGGGCCTCTGCCCAGCCAGAGGGAGGAGGCCGCAGTGGTGGGAGCAAGTGAATGAAGGGGGCAGGTGGGGCAGGAGATGAGGTCAAAGAGGCAGTGGGGCAGATGCAGAAGGGTTGTGGCGTCAACCCTGTGAGCCACGGAGAGTTTTCACCACGACTTTAGCACAGAAGCGACAGGTTGTAAACACGGGCGTGCTGTGTGCTGTCTTTATCAGGGAGTTCTGGGTGAGTTATGAGGAATTATAGCAGCATTCTCAGTTGACTGACCCCCCAACGCTCAGTCTTAGGTTCACGCAGCTCCGGGAATGACCATCAACTACTCTCTGTGTTTATTGTCCAGAGACAAAAGCATCTCAACAAATGACAAGCGTCCTGGGATGCCCCTAGTTCTGTCATTCACTTGAGACCCGCTCTTGGCAAGTCAGCCTGTGGGGCGTCCATCTGGAAAATGGAAAACCCCTTTGCTTTTATCAACCTCAGAGAGATGTTTTTAAGGTGGTCAAAGCCATGCCTTCTGACGCCTTCACCTCACAAAACGGTTGAGTCCCGACTAGCTAGTGACACAAGTTAGGGACGAGATATGCCCCAACTTGTCACAGGCGCTCCTGTGGAAAAGATCTACACGTTGCTTTCGCTCACGAGCTCAATGGGAGATAGTGATGAGCAAAGCGATGGCTCCAGGCAGGGAGGAATGATACGATGGTGACTGGACCTCCAGCCACACGCACATGTTTATCTTGGGAAAGAGCGGAGGTGGTAGTTGTCTTGCAGTGGTTGTAGGATTGTCAGTCACATAATGATATGGCATGGTTCCCAAAGACCAACAAGAACCAGTGGACAGGTACTCAGGGCGGCAGATTTTGTATGCTAATCTGTCCATTATGGGCAGGCGCAACTCATACCCTTGTCCTTGGAAGAACCTGGAAGGCCGCCTTTTAGTAGTCCCACAGAAAGGGCTCCCGTCTTTGAGTGGAAGGTCAAGTTTGATGACTTTTGAGTTTTGTTGGGACTCTGGAAGTCTATGGCTTTGGCCTTGACTGCTTAGCCTCTGCTTGTATTCCATCCCCAGCTTTCCCATTTCTCTCTAGGAGGAATAGTTAGTGTGATTTTGATCAAGTATGGGTCAATCTAATTCTACCACAGATGTTCATTTCTATAAAGGTGATGACGCTGGCTACAAGTTCCTCCCAGCACCCTCTGGTCCTTCTACTTTAAATGGGGTCAAGGCTACAGCAGAAGAATGGCTACTTTCTCAGGCTCTTAACTTGTGTCAGCCACTCTGCTCAGTGCTTCCTAGAGTTATTTGATTTAACTTCTTATTTAACAAATACAGAGATACAGAAGTCCGAGTCACACTGCTAGAAGATGGCAGAACAGAAAGCAAGACCTCGTTTGCTGACCCACGGCTCTAGGCTTCCCCTGTCAGTCAGACTCTCCTCCTCTATTTTGAATTGGGAGTCCGAGCAGCTTAGTTAGTGCTGGGCAAACCATGCCTGCGCACTTGGCAGGAATGAGCGGGGTGGGGGTGGAGAGAGAAGAGGGAGGAAGCAGGACACGGGTGAAGCCCCAGCTTTCGGGGCTCTCGGAATGCTAAGCAATTAGCCAGGCACTGATTCCATTGTGCTATGTAGGGCAAGGTCCTTTCCCTGGCGATTTGATGGAAATATATGCAGGGAGCAGTTGTGGCTTCAGAAACCCACAAGAATGCTGTGAAAGCAGAAGAATGGCCGAGAAGAAAAACACCAACGGCCTGGGGCCGCCATAGGCAACTGCGCCCACTGTGGGAATAAGAATCATACAGACATCTCTGCTGCATTGCAGGGCCCTCTCTCTACCCTGGTCCTTTGTCCAGGAGGGTGCTCAGTGGGCCCCATGGCAGGCCTCGGCTTCCTTTGTAGAACAGATCAAGGACATATCCTCGGAAGTCCACCAAGCCTCCCTGGGGAAAAGACAGGGCTTTCTACTCCCGTGAACAGTTGCAGCCTCGGAAACCCAATGGGGCGGTCCTACCCTGTCTGATAGGGTCGCCATGAGTCAAAGTGACTTGATGGCAGTGAGTTTGGAGTTTGGGCACCCAGCCTCCTTCATTGTTCATTGAATTGATTCTTCTTACAAGAGAACAGTTCCTCTTCAGTTCAAAGGCTTGCTATCTATGCCTTTCAATTCAGGCCTACGTGGTTGATGGAGGCTGGTGATTTTCCACAATCCTGGTACCTCTTCATTTTCAATGATTTGGGAAAGCCAGCCTGGACTCACCCCTGTAATTTTATCTGGTTAAAATAACCAGTTTGCACTTCTGAACGGGAATTCAGTAGTCAAGGCAGGCTGTCATCAGTTTGTCCCCTGAGAGTCTTGTCAATGTGGGGGATGTCTATTCTTTTCTCTGGACAGCCTTCATCAGTCCCTGCGGTAGTGTCAGCATCCTGTGATGAACTTGCAGTGCCACACTGTATTTACTCACTCCGATTATAGATTAAGAAGCTGCACAGGACTCCTGCTCTAAGGACCTCACCGCGAGGGTTGTGTGGTGAAGGGCAGATCCAGACTTTGGGAGACACGTAAGCTTACCCAGGAGTTTGGGCAGGCAGTAGTTAGGCACTTGACAGACAGCAGAGAGATTGGCACTTTGAGCCCACAGAGTGCTCCGTGGGAGACAGATGTGGCGGTCTGCTTCTGTAAAGATCCACTGCCTTGGGAGCCACCATGGGGGTCGAGGCAGGGTTCTCCTCTCTCCTACAGCACCACCATGAGTCAGAGCGGCCTCAGTGTCAGCGAGTTTGGGTTCTGGGTTACCTCATACCATTTGGGGAACCCTCTTTATCAAAAGAGCAACTCTTCTGGGGACCAGACAGAGGGCTTTCAAAGGAGCCTCTAAGAGTGAGGGACCTGGAACCTTAAGCTTCACCACCATTATGGGATGTTCATTTGCATAAAAAGCCAAGACACTAGGGTTAAGAGACGTCGTCCTAGATGTAGGCAATGGAAGAGGTTATTCTAGTATCCTTCTAGTGCGCCTTCTGAGTTCAGCAGGGTGAATAGCTTCTGGGGAGCACGTAACACAGCTCAGGAAGCTGAAAGTCAGTCCCTGCTAGTATAAAGTGCTTTCCCTGAGGAAACCTCTCCCTGTCTTAATAGTCCATATCAAGATTTCTATTTCTGCCTCCATCCACCCCTTGCCAGCTGGGCAAGCCAGTACCTCTGAGCACACGCCTCCTCACTGGAAGCTCCGGGTTTCAGATCTAAGCACTCCCCTCACCTACCCACCCCCACCCCCCATCTATATCGGTGGGCAGCTAGGGGAACAGCCATTGCATATCTAGTTTCTCTGGAACATTTCATCTCGAGAGAGGCCCAAGTGTGCCTTTAACTTAGAAATCAACATAAGTCACATACACCAACTAAGGCATCAGTGGCCATCCCCAAACGCACACCGTTGCCCTGTCTCGGGCAGGAAGCTCTATAGGGGATACCCAACGTCTTAGTAAGAACTAGATCCTAAATACAAAGCTCTAGAGGGCGCTGTCTTAGAACCTCCTATTGATTACGAGTGAGAAACACTGACTGTTATCTTGTCTCTGGACCTTGGGTGCATCATGAGATTTCCTTAGACTCTATTTTTCTTATCAGTAAGATGGGAAAGTTTGGCTTTATTGCTTCATGGCATCTTTCAATTGTTCTACCCAGCCTCTGGATCTGACTTCTTGCCGTATCGAGAGTAGAAAATGGTTTAAAGCTAGACTAAAGCTTACATCTCAACCTGAATTTGAGAATGAGACTCTGTACCCAAATCCCACCGAAGGGTCCCATCATCTCCTGGAAAGGCCAGAGGACAGTGAAAGAAACCTGGAGGCCACTTACAGTGTAGAAGTTGAGAGACAATTGGCTTTCAAATGTGCCCATGCTCCCGTTCTTCACGTGAACAGTGGCCACTCTGAAAAGGGGAGAGAATTTTGCATAAGGACTGAAACATGCCTGGTTGGCAGGGACTGCAAGACACACACAGGCAGCCAGCCCTCCTCTCCACAGAGCGTCTTACCTCTGGTCAAAGGCAGCCTGGTTCACCAGGTAGGTGGAGTGGTAGGTGCAGGAGAAGGAGTAGTTCACGGGCTGGTTCTTCACGATGACTGTGCTGTCGTTGGAAACAATGTGGCTGTAGAAATGGTAGATGGGGGGCTTGTACTGCAGAAAGGAAGAAGGCAGTTCGGGTAGTTCCATGGCCCACGATGCAAAGGAAGGTTAGGGAAAAAGCACGTGATAACTTGGGAGAAAGTCCGAAAGGGAGTCATGGATATCTGCTATTGGTAGCAGCCCTTTTCTCTTGTTCTTAAGTGTGAACTGAAAATACTTGCAGAGCTCTTGAGTCAGCCAAGATTATTTAAAATAATCTAAGCTGAATGCAGTACACACACACACACACACACACACACACAAATCCACATATGCATTTGGTTTCTGATTAAAAAGGACCAGTGAAAGATATTCTATTTCCCTGGCCCAAGTATCCAAGTGAATGCCTTCACCTGCCTCCTAGTTGTAGCATGGCTACTGTCTGGTCCTCTGTTCTCACCAGGGGACACTATTTCTGAGATGATCTTTCCAGACTAGTTGGACTCTGGAATCATAGACCAGTAGGGCTGCAAGGGGTCTTAAATGTCTACCCCAGACTGTAAAGGGAATTTCCTGTCCATCCTATTCGGATGCTCAAAGAAAGTATGCGTTTTGTTAAGCAGGCCTAGGACTCTTCCCACTCAACCACTGAATCCTTGTGGGACTTTTAGGAAGAGGGGGCATACTAGAAATGTTTTTGGTCTCCGCTTCTGAGACCTATCAGACCAGAAGCAACAGGAGGCTGGATCTCAGAAGACCAAGCCTTGTGTGACTGTGGCCCCGGTTCTGGGAACGGAACTAGACACTTTATCAGAGGTCAAACTTTCCTCTTCCGTAACACAACGGTACTTAGCAAGAGATGCTGTCTTTGGTTCCTTTAGTGCTCTGACTCCATGTCCTTTTTAGGATCACCTTATGAACTGTGTCCCGCTTTGGTCTCTGACTTAAAATGCTCTTCCAACATTCACTTTCTCGCCACTTCAAAGTGCTGGGGACAGAGGACATCCCACCCACCCCAGAAAATGGTAATTAGTGAGCTCTTGCTGAGGCACGAGAAGCGGGGGAGTGGGGTGGGGGGTGGGGGGGAGGGGGTGGTGAACTTGGTTCGACCCAACAGCAGGTGAGGGACTTAGCCGACGTCAACAGAAAGTGAACCAGTTGCTGTCAAGGCAACTTGCCTCATGGCAGCCCCTGTGTGTCAGCGTCACACAGCTCCATGGGGGTAGGGGGATGGGGGTTCAGCATTGGTTGTTCTTTTGAAGACCAACAAGTCTTCCTTCCAAGTGCCTTTGAGAGGACTTGCACCTCTCACCTTTTAGTTAGTAGCCAATGGAAGATAACTTATAGCCCCACCCAGCGACACGGAGGGTGGGGCGAGGAGTAGGAGGATAATATTGATATCCAAGAATCATCTAAAGCAGGCAGAGGGGAGGAATTTAAATAGTACTCCTATTGGGTGGATCTGTGGACACAGTACCGGGATGATTACCTGGGTGGGGGTGGGAGGCAAGGAAGGGGCGATTGGGGGGAAACGGGGAGTCAGTAGCAATGGGGACAAGAAGGAAGAAAATGTCCTAAAGTTGCTTGTGGTGATGTGATTGAATAGGATGGCATGATTGAATTGTATGATATGCTAATTATATCTCAGTAAAACTCTTTAAAAAGAAAAGGGGGTGGGGGTGGACTATAACTCATATCCCAGAGAATTTGGGAATCCTGATTGACTTTCAAAAGAAAAATGGTGAATTCTGAGTCCTATCAAGGGTGGTCACTGACTTTTGAGCGCAGTTGTCATGTGGTACGCGACTCTGCATTGTGTGGCCTGGCCTTACCTCGGACTGCGTTCCACAGTAGGACTTGTTTTTAGGCGACAGATCTGGGATTACAAACTGGTAGTAGCCTCCTTCGTGGACCCCATTGTAACACAGCCCTCCGAGGGCCAGTTGATGCACTTCCCATCCGTAGGGGCACTCGGGGATCTTAGTGATGATGGTTTTAGGGTAACAAAACACGAGGATGACATCTGGAAAGGGCACACGAGTCAGGGGTCAGAGGTGGTGCCCCCTCCCCTCTGCCTGGAGAGCACTGGCTTTCCGCCACCCTGACCCTGCAAACCTCCACTGCTCTGACGCACGTTCTCTTGAGATGGCAGCCATGGGAACTGGACCTTCAGCTTTAGCTCTCTTTGAAGAAGTCTGTCTGTGACACGTCAGACAGGATGTGTTGTATACATGTGCACACATGTTACTACAGCGTGTCTGTTGTTTTGCAAATGCCCATGAAAATGAGCACCAAACCTATAAAGGTCTCTGTTTTATGCACTACGCCGCCTGATGGCGCAGGGCCCCAATCCAACATCTAATAGAAAACGTGAAATGGATGAATATATGAGTGTATGTGTGTGTGCATGTGTGTATAATTTTTCTAAGTACAGTTTTTTGCCTTTTTTTGCGTCTTATACGAACAGCCTGACCTGGGGACTTTGGTGGCTTCTGGGCTACATTATTGCGTTTTTGTAACAAGGTGAGCACAGAGCTCCCAGCTTCGCAAAAAGAAGCTCCCAGAAACTGGCCTTTCTAGGAACCGGAAGGGCGCCGGGACATACCTGCTTTATTAGGCGTGCATGATCTCGCCGAGGCCTCTGCAAAGACGGCCAACAGGACCAAAGCCCTCATCCTCATTGCTCCGCAGAAGCCTGTCCACGCTGGGTGGCCACACCAAGCTGGCAGATGGTCACGGTCCAGCCAGGGCCCAAGTCTTGCTCTTTCTAAATGAGAACCCCAAGTGAAGTGTGAAGAACAAGGGTGAGGACACAACACACACACAATTTTTCTGGGGACATGTCCAAGGGAGGTGGGACAATGTTGTCTGTCCCCCGATCCCAGCCAACCCAAGAAATGGGGCTCTTACCCCTGGGCGCGTCAGTGGCTGAGAAGGTCGCTCAAGTGCCCGATTGCTTCATCATCTCTGGTCTGTGGACGCTGTGGACGCGGATGCTTCTCACATCTTCAGCCCCAGCCCTCGCTTGGCTTTATATAGTCCAGCGTGTAAAAGAAACTCCCAGATAAACCACAGGGAGCCTGCATTATCCACCCGGGGGAGCCGCGAAAGGGGGGCTTGCATAATCATCCAGGGGACAGCTCAGTTACGGCCCCTTGAGTCTCATTCTTTTGACCTCGCAGAATAGGAGAAACAGTTTGTTTTTTTTTAAACTGCTCCAATCAGGATTAGAATAATAATTGGAATTTTTTTCCCCTTGTACAAAAACTAACTCCGATGAGAGGCAAACGATGTCTCCCAGGTCTCTCTGTGACTCTTGCTTTCTTACTTTGACTTGCAGGCTGCCTCCCATTGGGGCAGAAGGAGCCTCTCTCTTTACCTGGTACAGCAAACAGGTTACTTGTGCCCATGCGAATATTTTCACAGTTTGTTTTCTTCCATACTTTAAAATAAACTCAGATGTCTAGAGCTTCTCTTGAAAACACCACTTACTTCCGATGGCAGACCCTCTGTGTACCGAGCGCTGTCTCAGCCTCCCTGTGCAGTCGTGTCAAACTTGGAAAAGGTCTCTTCCAATTCTAGTCCTGCGTTTCCAACAAGGTCCCTCCGAAGATGCAGGCAAAAGGCTGCTCGGGGAAAGTTCCAGATGTATGTGGGGGCCGATATCAGCGGAAATTGAGAAAGTCAAGGGGTTGTTTGAGTTTCTGTGCTTACTGGAAAAGGTCTCTTATCGATGGAGAACCTATTGTATTGACCCCCAAGCCCACTGCCATGGTTTGGATTCTGACTCACAGTGAACCCCTGGGACCGAGTAGAACTGCCCCTTTTGATTTGTGTGACTCTGACTTTTTATAAGAGGGGTCAGTCTCATCTTTCACCCGAGGAGCGGCTGCTGGAGCTGAACTGCTAACCTGTGGTTAGTAGCCCAACGAATAGTGCACTGTGCCACCAGGGCTCTATCTAATTGTATTGAAGTTGCTACAATAAACTGCTTGAGAGCTGGCAGTAAAAATGGAAAGAAAAATCACCCTATCCCAAGGGAGGTTGCCATGTAGCTGGGGACCTAAAATTCTACACACAGCAACTCAGGGCAGATGGTCAAGTCATCGTTTTGCTACGTATCATATTTAAGAGGTTTGCTCCTCCCTGGAAGCTGGGGATGGGGAACAATTTTTTTCTGCCAAGGGCTGTTTGGATGTTTATAAACATCAGGCCCGGGCCATACTGGTAAACCTTGACTCCTGCCTGGTTCTCTTTGGCAAGGGACGTGCTGTCATCAGGTATTGAGATCCCCAGGGCCTGTGGCGGAGTGGTGCCTCAGGCGAGGTCAGCTGTTTGAAAGGGCCAGCACCTCCTGCAGGGAGAGGTGAGGCTTTCTACTCCTGGGAAGAGTTAGGGTCTTCAAAGCTCCCAGGGGAGCTCCACCTTCTTCTCTAGGGTGGTCGTGAGGCAGCAGCTACTGGAAGACAAGGAGTTTTGCGATTGCTTTCGTGATACAGCCCGAAGGCTGGATATTCCACCCCTGCTTAAGCACACATAGCCGCATGTTTTAGGAAGGGGATGTAGCTCGTAATCAGTATGTATACATAATATGATAGGTTTTGCCTACTTGCTGGAAACCTATTGTTAAATTGATGATGTGTCTTCTAATGATGATATCTAAGAATGGAGACAGTAGCTGCATGGGGTGCCATTAAACGGTTCTGTGACTCAGTTTCCTCATTTGTAAAATGCAGGCAGGAGTCCTGGGCTCACCTTAGAGGACTGAGAGAGCCAGAACACGAAAAGACTTTGTAGGCTGTAAAGCTCCAAACACCAGCCTCACTGCTGTGAAGTTGATTTGGATCCACAGAGACCTGCGGGACGGTGGGGCACTGCCCCATGCGCTTTTGAGGCTATAAATCTTTACCGCAGCAGGAGCCTTATTCTTTCTGGCTGGGAGAGGTTGGTGGGTTTGAACCACTGGCCTTGTGGCTAGCCACCCAATGTGTAACTTCCTATGCCACCAGGGGTCCTTTGTGTACTGTCAAGCACTCGGCAAACACATGGACTATATGAAAGGATCACAATAATTCACCCAAACAAGCATGTGTCCCCATGAGTGGATTTCCTTTTCCTCGGGACCACAAGTATCACATCTTCGATTCATGTAACATTGGATACAGCCACAGTGTCTAACATGTATACAATACGTTTTATGGATACAGATAGAAGAGGGGAGAAAGAGGGACTATATTGTGATGTTTTCTAAATCATGGCCGTTTAGTTAAGCCTCACCACAATACTACCTGAGCACAAAATAGACGGTGGAATCTGGAGTCTGTGGGAAAGAAAGCGTCTCTTTGTCCTCAGACCCAGCACGGACTCGCTGTTCTTCCCCTACCTTCCCTTTTCTTAAGCATTTCTTCAGTGCCAATGATATGCGGGCACAGGACGAGGCCCTGGGAGAGGACACGGGCCATTCAGATGCTGCTTCTCTCTCGGAGGGACTTGGAGTGGGGCTCTTAGAGTGACAGATACTGTACTGACAACATCGGACAGACTGGAAGTGGGAGGAGCAGCAAGATGCTGGAGAGGGGCAGGAACACGTGGCCATGCTAACTCAGGCCTGAAATGGCTTAGGTGTGCAAGGAATGGCACCTTTGGTGTGACGCAAGTGATGATGCTTCACTGACAATTTAATGCTGCTCGTTCTACGTCTAGGTGTAGTGGTTACGTGTTGAGCTGCAAACCTTGAGGTTAGCGGTTCAAAACCACCAGTCCCTCCCAGGGTGGAAGGTGAGGCTCTCTACTCTTGTAAAGAGTTGCAGACTCAGAAACCCACAGGAGCAGTTCTACCCTATTCTGTAGGGTCGCCATGAGCACACATTGACTGTAGAGCAGTGAGGTTTTTGAAGTGAGTCTTCTAGGTGTTTGGGGTTGTTTCCATTTTGAGAGAGTCTTTTCACAGATCTTCAAACCTGTGTTTGCGATCTACACTGGCCTAGGCCAGTTAGCAGCACCATCAGCCTTTGACCTGGGAGTGCAGAGTTCATTTAGGCAGAAGGTTGCCATCGACATACTTGCCTTTTCAGGCTCCCGGTGGAATTGTGGGATGAGCACAGGTGAGTTGCTATAAGGCTCTGCAGGACAAAGCTCAGCAGTGGGGCTCTGCCGTCTGCCCGGAGACTCAAAAGTCAATAGCTAGTGAAAGTCTGGCAGTTCAAATTCACCCAGCAACTTTGAGAAGATTACATCTTGGAAAAACCTCTGGGGCCGTTTCCCTCTGTTGCCTGGGGTCCCTGTGAGCTGTATTTAACTCAACGAGACTCAGCAACTGCCACAATCACTTATTAGCTGTGTGTTCTTGGGCAAATGACTGGTTTCTGTTGGCCTTCATTTCCCTGTGTCCTGAGTGGATGCGACAGTAGCTATGACACATGTCACTCAGGGTAGTAAATGAGAGCGCAGCCTGTTACCCTTATTAAAAAAAATAATAACCCACAAAGCCCAAACCCAAACCCAGTCATTATGGTGGCAGTTTCCATTCATGGTGATCAGGTGTGTGTCAGAATAAAGCCGCTGTGAAACCCACGGGGGTGGGGGTCGCGCTGGGGGTCTCAATGAGTAGGGCCGCGACTCAAGGGCAGTGAGCTTGTTCTTGGTTTGGTCTTTTTCAGAAGTATCATATTTTAATGCAAATAATATGCACATTAGACATTTATTTTGCACACCGTACAACCTGTTCTCCCCTCTCCCCACTTAGAGTTAAGGGTTAGGGTTAGGGTTCAGTGTTAAGTGAAAACACCTGTGTTAAGGATTAAGGGTTAAGGGTTAGGGTTAGGATGAGGGTGAGGGTGAGGTTTAAGATTAGGGTTAGGGTTAAGTCCGTACAACCTGTTCTAAAGCTAGCTGCCTATGTGCACTATGACCATTATAGGAGTGGCCTTCAAAAAGTTCATGGAAAAAACCATAATCTTTTAACCCCTTTCTTCTATGAATTCTTGAAGGCCTCTTGCATGCATGTGTGGGTGTATTGGAAAATATGGAGTGCTCTCCTTGATAAGGGCAGAACATTGGGAAAGCTAATCATTTCTATGCTCAGCTCTGCCGTGGACAGCCATGAGGGCACATGACTGTCATCCCTCTTATGTATAGCACATGCCCATAGTTGCTCTGCTGAGCAAAACCTCTTAAAAATGTTGAAAAGCAAAAATGTTACTTAGAGGATGGCAGTGCACCTGACGCAGGTCGTGATATTTTCAGTCACCTCATACACATGTGAAAGTTAAACACTGAGTAAGGGAGACTGAAGAACAATCGATCCACTTGAATGCAGGTACTTGGAGAGCATTCAAAGGACCACTGACAGCCAAAAGCATAAACAAATGTGGCCCAGAAGGCACACAGCCAGGATGCCCCTTAGGAGCATGGATGACAAGATTTGTCTCGTGTACTTTGAGCGTGTTATCCGGAGAGTCCAGTCCCTGGAAGAGTACTTCATGCTTGGTAAAGTGGAGGGGCAGTGACAAATAGGAAGGCCGTCGGCAAGATGGACTGACACGGGGCCTGAAAGGATGGGCTGCAACATGACAAGGATGGGGAGGACGGTGCCGAATCTGGGGATGTTTGGTTCTGTGGCACACACTCTCACTGTGAGTCGTCACTGACTTGCGGACCCTTAACGCCCCCACTTAGGATC